TCTGGTTCCACTTGTCCCGCACGGCAGATTGCGTCAACAATCTCCGCATCTGTCCATATTTCACAAAGGGGATTGTCAAAGATTGCGTAGTCCTGCTCCGCCTTGATGAGTGAGCGGGAAAGGTAGGCCACTGGGTGGAGGTTGTCCTTTGGGCAGACCTGGGATAGAACAGCGCCCAGCGCAAAGTCGGATCAATCACATTCTAGGATGAACAGGCGGTACAGATCAGCAATTTTCAAAATTGGTGCGGACGTGAATGAAATTTTGAGGTTCTCAAAAGCGGAGTTGCATGCGGGAGACCATTTGAACGTTGAATCCTTCTTGGTCAGGTCGTGGAGGGGCCACGCAATGTGGGAAAATTGTTTGATGAACCGTTGGTAAAAGTTGGCGAACCCTATGAAGCGTTGGAGCTCGGTGACGTTGTGGGGCGGGTGCCAGTCAGATACAGCTTTGACCTTGGTTGGGTCCATCTGCAGGCGATTGCAAGAGATCAGCAGGCCCAGGACTCAACTTCCTTTCTTGAAAATTCACACTTCTCCGGTTTCAGCCAGAGGGTGTGCTTGCTCAGGGTATCAAGAACTGTGCGGACGGCTTCCTCATGGTCGGACCCCTTCTTGCTGTAGATCATGATGTCGTCCAGATAGGCCGCCACATCCTTCCCGATGCGTCCCAGGAAAATATCCTGCATGAAATATTGGAAGTAGCCGGGGGCACCGTTGGGCCCCAACAGCATGGTAAGAGGTGCAAACTGACCCGCTCGGAAGATGAACGCCAACTTATCTTCATCACCTTCCGCAACCCTCAGGTTGCCATACGCGTTCCGCAGATCCAATTTGGTGAAGGTGTCCGCTTCAAGATGGCTGTCAACAAGGTCCATGGTGAGGGGGAGCGGTTATTTGTTCTTGGCGGTGACCGCGTTGAGTTTCCGATAGTCAAAACAGGGCCGTAGATTACTGTGAAAATTAACATTGCATTTTTGAGACATTTAGCAAGAAAGATCAACTTGGGCAGGATTTGAACCAGCGACCTTAGTGGAAGCTAAGACACTATACTAGATGCTGCCTTTACCAACTAGGCTACCAAGTCTGTGCCTGATGTATTGATTTTAGAAAGTATGGCTTGATCTCATTTGGATACATAAGCACACAGAATTAAGTATCACACAGGCCAATATATTTTTAAGACACTGTGGATTACAAGATTTCAACAATTACCATCCTTATTTCCCGCAAAGATGACCGGGGCGGCCCACGGTGACGTGGTCCTGCGGATGGTGCCGTTGGCAAGCCCCTCCT